TCAAGACAAACAAGCTAGCTCCATCTGGATCATTGTCGTTGTCCTGAACGGAAAATACTCCGAGTCTCAACGGGTAGCCTCCGAGGACTGTGTCGTATTTTCCTCCACGCTGCTTGACGTCTTCAGGCTCTTGTACATTTGGAAGCGCGGAAACGATTGCAAACTGTATGTCCTGTTGATGGAGGTATCGCAGAAACCGGCTTGGATGTTTGCCGTCAAGTGCAACGTCCAATATCAGACCAGAAATGAGCCCTGTCGCCGAAGTTCTGGCCCATTGAGGCAGGCTCTGTCACTGATGGCTCGCAGATACGGCCAGGTCTCATCTCGAAAATAGCTAGTAGCGGACAGTTATTGCCAAATGGGGATTAAGCAATATCATTCCAAAGAGTAACACTTCAAAAGAAGGTGATGCAAATGCCGATTGTTAACGTTTCGTCACTCATTCGCCACAAGATGCCACCGACCCAAGTTCCTGCTCGCTCTGGAACGCCAGAGTGCCGTGTAGACCGTTGAATCCACAGATAGTTCGTGGAAGGGTCTGGGAAACTGGGACTGAGGAGATAGCAGTGCGTGGCTAGGTGCGGATAGTTACTCAATCGAGCCGCCGTCCGCAGTACGCCAGGATCATTCATGGCTCGATATGCACTAGAGCTCCTCAATTCCAAGTTCGAGTTTCTGCGTGAACAACGCCCGCCTTCAATCCGCGTCGCCCTTGCAGGAGACCCGATGAGGAGGCCCTGATAGCGATGACGCCAGGCCAATCACTGACAACCACGACGAAAGAACAGCGGGTCGTTTCAGCGCAGCTCCTCTGAGTGAGGACGGCATGTCTAATTGGACTGTGGTGTGTCTCGCTGGGTAGTGCTGATTTCCCCGCGTTGTGGTGTTCCTTTTTCTTTTTTCCTTCTGCTGCCTCTCACGCCTCTCAACTGTCCCGACCTGGCCATGGCAGACTGCATATCGAGCTGGGGTGGAAAACGCCATCACCATAATACCAAGGGGTGTTGGCAGACTGAAGCTGAAATGCTTGAGGAAGGATGATTCGGGCGTCCATGGAGCCGGTACGGCGAAACGGCCGCGGTTTGCTGAGAATGATACACACCACAGTTATCAATGATGACTGCCATCCCATCCCCATCCCAGGACATCCCGATTCTAGGCCCAACTATCGAGCGACACCACCTCGAGTGTGGTGCTGTTTTACTGGCCTGGCATCTAGTGTCGTCGGCTGGCGTGGTGTGGCGATGGCAAGCCAGCAGGGCTTCTTGACTCGCTCACCGCTTCGGGTACAAGACGGACGTGGGGGACCTGGGCTTCGGTGACCTGGGCGTCCCAAGTTCGAAGCGGCCGGCGCCAGAGATGACCGGTCACAAAATTCTGGTGCGAAGTTTCGTTCTGAATGCCAACTCGGCGCTGGCTCTCGGCCGGCTTCGTTTCCAGAATAGTTCACGACGGAGTACGAAGTAGATGGCTGTGGCTCCGCGCCCGCCCCGCAACCAATGCCCGCCGATTTTGAGGTTCTGTAGCACGACAACGGGCTGAGAAAGGGGCCATCGCAGACGATGAGCAGAGCCATGCATGCCAGTCCAGTGCATTGCAGGCCAAGCGCAGGGCATGTGCAGCCAGAGATTCTCAAGATAGCAGAGAGAGCCGGTGAGATAGCTGGGGGGCTGCGTGGGACCTATTACGGGCAAAAGCAGCACGGGACGAGCTGTCATTGATGTTGTGTCTCGTCAGATGGCTGCGAGCCTGCGACAGGCGTGGCCAGTGATGAGGCCTACGCGCTGCAAGGATATGGGGATTTTGACAAGGCCCCCCGGGCGATGGACAAATTGCTTGCATGGAAGCGAGTGAAGGGCCGCAGAGGGGATCTGTGGATTGAGGTCTGAGATGCCATCACAGTCGCATCCGTATCCGACGTTGAGAGTTGAGTGCCAACGTAGGGATCGTGTACTTCGTAGAGAGCACTGGAGCGAGCGTTGCAGAAGCCAAGGCGGTTGGACTTGCACTTGCACAATTGCACTTCCCTCGAGGGCATGTAGAGTCGGGTTGCAGTCGCAGTCGGGAACTGTGCGCCGAATGGCATCTGGCTTGTCCACCGAGCTTCACCTTTGCCCTCGAAATACCTTAGCGGGCGGTAGGTGGCTGGGACGAAATGGTCTGTACTTGGAAGTGGTCTAGCTCTTGCTCAAGAACAGGCGCAGCACCACGACCTTCCTGAGGTAGCGTGCTACAGGTGCGTGTTCGCAGGTTTTGGCACGGCCGTCCTTGGTCGTACCGTAACGGACCGGACGTTGGGTGTCCGAAAATACATACAGTCAGTCAGTGATGACGGGTGGCGATGGGGACTGAAAGGTTGCGAATGAGGTCTGTGGTGGACTTGGAACGGTGACTGCCACACGTGAGCAGGCGTTGATGTGTGAGTTGATTGACGCTTGATGGATTGGATAGCTCGAGGTGAGGACATTCGGCGTTGTATTCGAGGGTGGTTGGCGGCGGAGGAAGACGGGATGAGATGAGGAGACCAGGAAAATTACCCAACTGTCCAAGGTACGTACCGCATGGAGGAGACGTCGAGACGGGAGCAAGTGGGGCATCTCAGACTTACCTTAGAGTATGTACGAGTACGTACCCATGACTAAGGAGCGGGACGTACCCATGCTCAACGCTCCCCTTCCTTCTCCTTCCCGTCTCTTCACTTCACCGGGCTACGGAATACATAAGGTACCTAGGTAGTAAACCTCACCTTTGCGGTTACCTTACCTAACCCTACCTTACCCTTTGCTTACCTTACCTTGCATTGCCTGCCCATATATTCTTCTTACCTTACCTAGAGGTACGACTTGGATCGGTTTAGACGTGGTGGACTTGGCACTTGCACCATAGTCGGCAAGGGCGTACCGCCTTCTTTGTTTCTTTTTCTTTCCGTTTGTGAACAAATGAGGCTTGTTTTAGTGGTCTGCAACCGCTGCGTCCGTGTCCTCCATCCTCGGCTCCTACACGTGTATTCGTAGTATCTACGATTCGCGAATACCCAGGAACCTTGCTTGCCGCAGGTAGTGTTCGTGGGTACAATTAGTGTACCGTAGGTTAGTGTGGTAAGGTTCCTTGGCTTCACGATGGAACCGATCATGACTCTGCTGCAAAGATTCAATGTTGCACAGAACGCGGGATTCCGGCTTGGGCTGGATGAGCAGTTGCCGTTTGTTTCCGCCGTCAAAACTTGGTCAGGTAAGAGAGATGGGTTGTGTCTGCACAATTGAGTTTCAAAAAATGCTACCAATCGCCCAAATTAGAAGCATTTGAGTCCTCCCATCTCCGGACCGAGCATCACCCGCAGCAGCAGGATGGCATCCAACAAGACTCGAGATGGATCCTGGATTGCTTCGCTGCAGGATGCGTGCTGTGCTGTATGTACACTACGGTCGTTGTACCGTTGCATTTTGCATTTTTGCAGGCTCTGCTTCTCCTCTTCCCCCTCCTCTCCCCCTCCTCTCCAGCCTCTCTTCCAGAGTTCCCCTCCCCCGTCCCAGCCCAGGTGCCTGCGTACTAGAATCTGCATGAGATCTATCTTTTCACGTTGCTGCCAGGGTCTGACCTTTTTCCGTGCTGCACCTCGATGGAATGGGGCAGCTACAGGGACAGAGGCACAGAGGATGGTCTCACTCAATCCCGATGCCCATTACAATCCCAGCAACATCACGGTGCACAGCAGCCAGGGCACCTAATCCTACACCCACCATGGTTTCTTTTCCTCCGTTCCTTTCCAATAGCCCGCCTGCAGCTTGCCGACTAGGCAGTTGTCTATCCTCAAATGTTTCCTCTGTGGAGGTTGCGGAGATGGAGGAAGAGAGGGGGAAAGGTGATCATGCTGTCCGTCACTTACAAACCAACCGTTCTAAACTTACAGTGACCATGAAGCCAGCCTGCCTATGCTTATCGTGGCTCTGCTTTAGCTCAGCCTGGAGGAAGCGGGCTTCTCGATGCTCATTCGCCCTTCCGTTTCAACACCATTCCTCAAGCCCCGGTGTGTTGCTGGGTCCTCCTTAACTAACCCACCCATGTGCATGGTTGGGTCCTGGAATGGCCCCCTCCATTAACGGCCACGAACCTTTGGTCAGAAATCAGCGCAGAACCACATGGCACCATCCAGGCCATACAATCCGCTCTCTGGGAACCCAGCTTGGGCAGCTTCACATCAAGCCTGCTCAGTGTCTCCCCATGCTGACCGGACGCCGAAACAGACAACTGGTCAGAGCAATTAAGATGAGGCTGTTTAGGCTGCCCGGATGCCTGTAAGTGTACGAGGAAAGAAAAAGCTCCGAGAGGATCGGTCGGTGTCTTGGTCGACCCGACAAAACAAGCCCTGTCTTTCTCCCTCTCTCTCTCCGAGTCTGTCTCTCCCGGTTCCGACTCCGACTGCCTCCACAGTCCACACGTTGCGATCCGGCGATGGTGACAGCCGCGCTGCATCCGTGGACTCGTGTCGTTGGATTTCGATGTTGATGATCCTTGATGGGTTGTCACTCTAACTCATCCTCAGTCGTTTGTTTCGAACCTAGATTCTATCTATTCTTTCCCCTCTGCCATCCCACCTCGTTCTCGTCATCGGCATCCCGAAAGCCCTTGTGCAACCAATCGATTGCAGACGGATAGATCAGGAAACAACGTACACAAACTGCCCTGATGGACGATACCGTCCCTGGACCTTGTCTTCTGGGTGTATGGTGTAGTGTACACTCCACAGTTTGTGTGTGAGAGGGAAAGAAAGTGTGTGTTGCCATACCTGACCGGACTTTACCTGACGTAAGGTAAGCTTCCGTGCCTGACCTGAGAGACTAGAGTGGAAGAAGGTCCAAGTCTGTCCTTCCACGTTGCTATTCCCAGCCTTCTCCCGATGCCGCCATGATCCTCTCAGGTCTTCTTCCACGTCGCTCACCTGTCCTTCTATCTGATCCAACACCAACGCCAACACCGCAGCCAACGCCGGTACACCGATATCAGCACCAAGCATCAAGAACCAAGCACCAGCACCGACACCAACAGCAGCATACCGCTTATGCCAGGCTAGCCAGTCCCATCCAGCCAAGTCAAAATTTAGAAACATCACAACGTCCTCCAATGGCTACCCGCAGACGCTCAGGTACCGCAGGACGCCATGCACACTAGACACAGACACACAATACACGCTCCCTCATTCACACACCCCTCTTTTCCTCTCGTCTGCTCACCCCCCTGTTCCTGGTCCTGTTCCTGTTCCTGTTCCTGTTCCTGAGTCTCTTCCACTCACCTCTCTCTCTCTCTCTCTCAGTCTCAACTCTCAACTCCTCACAATTCTCCCGCTCAGAAGCCAAGGCCTTCACCCGCCCGCCCTCGTCTCGTCTTCTTGTCTTCACCCCCCCCCCCCCCCCCCCCCCCCCCCCCCCCCCCCCACCCCCCCCCCCCCCACCCCCCCCCCCCCCCCCCCCCCCCCCATCCCCCCCCTCGCCACGCCCTCCCCCCCCCCCCCCCCCTTCTTTTTTTTTTTTTCCCCCCCCCCCCCCCCCTTGTTCATGGACCCCGACACACAACTCAACCTCCGAACGCTCCACCCAGAGATCCACCTCTCCACTGTCTTGAACCTGATGCGTTGTGTGCAGCTCGGTTCGTTCGTTTCTTCCCACTCGTCACGGACGGTTTCTCTTGACCACAGACACCACCACACTAGGCACAGGAACCCGCAACTGACCACCACCATTCTCTTTGGCTCTTCTCTCACGCATTCTCACGCACACACACATACACACACACTTACTCGCTCTCAGCTTCTCGCCTCCCCCCTCCTCCTACACACGCGCACACCACACTAAAGCATCTCGACATCCTGTCCTGCATCACGGATCATGGCCACACCCCCGGAAAGGCCCCATAATATCCTTGCGGGATTATTCACATGCCGTCGTTCCCAAGCGGGTGCACGGTTGTACAGCTTATCCCTACCCTGTCTCTCAGTCTCTCCAAGCACACTCTTCCTCGTCGTACGGAATAGGTATGCACCAAGTTGTGTGTACATGTCTATGTGCGTGGTGTATCCGCACATCGTAGCTGCGTGGCTGCAAAGGTGGCCCAAGGTGCCACCGCCCGTCAATCTTTACATCGTTTCCATGTCAGTGCTGCCGCAAGTGCCGCATCCAAGGAACCAGGTGCTCTCTACTACGTTTCCCACCCCTACATGGCAGCTATATACATAACCCCAGGACAGCCGCCCACTATCTTCTGTATTCGATCTCCGCGAGCCTCTCTTCCTCGTCTCCAACCCTTCCCCTTCCCTTACTTGAAGGTCTCCAGCATCAACCGGCTCCCAACGTCAATCTTGGAGTCGTGGAACCTGATCTCTGGTCTGTCTGTCATCCTGACCTGGTGCCGAGATCATTCACCCAAACTGTTTGTCACCCTTTCCTATAATCTCTTATTTTCCTTGAATGTCTATTTGTCGGTTTGTTCCTATTACGGAAGGCCCTAAAAGCCCAGTGGTGCAAGTTGTACATGGCGCTCGGCAACATTTGAACACTGGCTTGTAATACGAACATTGGGTTGTTCCATTTGTTATATCGGGCTGGCCCATCCACGCCGAAACGGCATATAATACCTACTGGACGATGTCGACGACGAAACTGCTCTCAACGGTGGTTTGGCTTTCCAGCCTCTCGTTACCTACCAGAGCCTTGGATCGAAGAGACGACTTTACCGATTTCGAAACTGAGGAGGAAAGACAGGGCAAGGGCAAGGGCAAAGGAAAAGGAAAGGGAAAAGGCAAAGAAGGTGTACCGAATGTTCCCGTCACGACACCCGGACTCGACGCCCTGCCTACAACCGGAACCGATCCTACGCCTGTCCTCGGGCCTGGGACAAACAATGGGGATCCAAACAATCCCAACAATGGAGGTGTGACCTGGCTCAACCCTGGCACTGAACACTCAGTCTGCGATGCCTTCACCCATCTGCCGTTTTTATCACACCGACGATCTCATCCGAGCCCCCGCCTTACCTCACCTGACTGACTCTTTGGACACCTCCGGACATTTTCTTTCCGTTTTGCTCTCACTTGACTTACATATAAATTGGATAAAGAGCTAACGCATCTTCACAGCACCTCCCCCTAACGAGGAACCGCCCCCTCCTCCGGAAAACCCTCAGGTCCCGGAAAACCCTCCAAATCAGGATCCCCCTCCACCCCCTCCCCCACCAGAGGAACCACCGCCGCCGCCGCCTCCTCCAGAAGCGCCTGCTCCTCCGCCTTCGCCTCCGTCTCCCCCGGCGCCTACCACCACCTCGGTTGAGAGTCGAAGGTCAACGACAACTCCACGATCTAGTCCCGTAGTCTCAACTTCGAGACCTCCGGTGCCATCTGTCTCGTCTTCTCCAACCCCAATTCGCTCGTTTCCTCCACCGGTCTTCTCACAGCCGAGTGCACCCCCACCAAACTTTCCCCAGCCGTTTCCACGACCAAGCTCAACACCAAAGCTTCCTCAGTCAAGCTCAGCGACATCTCTCATTGTTGTACTTCCGCCGCCAACTTCAGCTCCACTGACCACGTTGCCGCCACCTGCTCAGCCGACTGATGCTGGGAGCAGGAGTTCAAACCTCCCGGCGCCAGCTGCACCAAGCTCAACCTCTTTGACTGACCAGCACGGCGCCATGAGCGGAAATAAATCGCAGGGTATTGAGGGCAACCGTGGCCTTGTGGTTGCTCTGAGCACTGTGCTCTCTGTGCTTGGAGTGATCATTATTATCGGGGCCATCTTTCTCTGCTACCGTTACCGCCGTGGCCGCCTGCCATTCAGCCGCCGGGGCAACAGCCCGATTGATGATGAGGAGATCGAATCGTGGAAGGCCTGCAGGACAATTGAGAAATGCACGACCGTGGTCGTGGATAAACACGACTCGGCCGGTTCTATTCGCAAGCCAGCCAGCGTGATCGTCTATCAAAATCACAACCAGCACCAGCCGCGCCCTTCAACGGATACCGCACCTCGCTCTCTGTATCACAAGCGGAGCATGGACAAGAAGAGTATTGATATCCCTCAAACTCCCGTTCTCGCACGAGCCCCAAACGCCCGCGTTGGCCTCACTGACGACGCCGTCGAGGGTGACCTCGCCTTCCTTCCATCCCCCAAGCGACAGAACTCCAGACTGTCCAAGTTGCCGTCCCCTCGTCATGGCAGACATCGCAGCTCTCGCAGCAGCGCGAGTGTCGGTAGTCTGCGCGAGCATTGGTATGGCTACCACACCGACACAGAAATGTCTCCCCGCCCTTCGGTGGACCCTTACTCCCGGATGCCTTCTTCGGCACACTCGGATGGGAGGCACCAGCGGGTTTACTCGTCTCCCTCGAACCCTCCGAGGCTTTCACTTGATGAGGAATATCACATGGGTGGCCTCTCCCCACGCCCTTTCCTACGGCAATCAGAAATTGGTCTTGCCGTAGGCTGAAGTTACGATTCACGATTCTACGCCGGTCTATGAGATTTCTCTAACGCCGAGCCTTGTCTTACAACCTACCTTGACGATTCTTGCAGGAAATCCTTCGCAACGAACCCTGCGGATGACAGGAGCACGTCACACGCTAGGCTACGACATTCGTTTCAGCCCTCGCGCTCTTCCCGCGGGACTGGAGAGAAGTGCGGGGTGTGCTATCGCGCGGGACTTTTTGTTTCATGTCCCGATGGATGGCAGCATATCTCAACTCCCCATGTGGCTTAACACCATCACGAGGGTGGTGGGTGAGGCCAGCCGTATCAAACTCAGAATGGAAATTCATGGCTCAACAACCCTCCCCGCCACCATTACTCTTCGGGCTTTCTTCGCGATGCCCTCTTCACAGTGGCACGCAAGGCTCGGCGGACGCATCTGATGCGACCCAACTCCCCTCTTATGTTCCTCTTAAGTGAGCGAGCATCATGACGCTTGATATTGCTACATCTGGCAAGAAGCTTCGATGTCTGAAACGACATCTTTTTTTCCCTTTAATGGTGGCTCATTGGAGTCACACATGACGGAATGGTGATGGATATACCCACATGACAAACGGTCTACTTGAAGCTGCAACGCAGTCCATTTTCTAGATTTAAGTCTCTAAATACTTCGTCGGGCAACCAAACTTAGCTCCGAAACAAATTCAAATACAAGCCATATACCAAAGTTCCACGGTCTAGATCTCAACGTGATTTGCGCGATGTATATGAACCCGAGGTGAACCGCGCCGGTGGCAATATGAAGTCGTGGCTTCAATGGCGCCGACTACTCTGAGAGGCCACAACGAAGAGGTTGTCACAATGTCAGAACGGAAGCTTTTTGCGTGCGCGAACGATAGACCAGAGCGCGGTTGCTCTGCTCACCATCCCATCTTTAGGCGGCAACCCTCACATCGACGTCGGCCACGCTGCTGACAAGACCCAAAAGTTCCCAAGAATCGCTGGTGAAACGCGGAACAAGGAGCATGGGGGTGAGAGGTGGTGCTAGGTGCTCCCACCTCAGCAATCTGAAAGAAGAGAAGGAGACCTTTCAACACAAATAGGTGCCGGGACTTGACTGACTGACGGGCGGGAGGGAAGGGGAGGGGAGGGGGAAAAGAAAAGCAAGATTTCGTGGCCAAGGTTTCGATGACACTCTGGTGTCGTGTTCATGGTTTTCCGTTTCTGCTCGCCGTGCCCCCCTCTCCCCTCCCCTACCACGGCGCTGACCACATTGCGACACCTGCCATCCCAGGATGACGGGCACGATGGCAGGCGGGACAGGTGAAACGCGAATGCTCTTTTTTCTTCGCCTTCCCCGCCGCGGCGCCGGCGTGGGTGTTGCAACACAAAATTGGCACATCGGGGACGAACGCGAACCGACGGGAGGAAGTCTGGAAGAAGGGCGGGGAAGATGTCCGGTCGTGGGTATGGGGGCTATGAGGTGATGAGGTGAAGGATTCGTCTTTGACTTTTGAGTGGTGTCTTCGCATTTAGATACAGACACCTGAGATGCTTCTGTGCGTCATTTGATCGTCACAACTTTTGGTTGGTGAATGCCACTATCGACTTGAAGGAATCGGATGGAAGTTCGTGAAGAGGGCTGCGGCGTGTCGTGTGTATTTGTCGGTTCATCATTACCCAGAGCGAGTTGGTATACTTATACGTCGCGACTGTACAGTTCTTTCATTCCATCTTCTTTGCTTGGTTTGTATTATTCCCTTCGTCGTGATGTGAATTTCATTCGTTCGGGGAAAAGGAAAGCTGTCCATCTTCGGAGCTATCGGGGGCAGCTGAATGGAGACAGACTCCTCATCCCTCGGATGTTTTTTACTTTTCACATTTCCCCCCCCCCCCCCCTTTCGAGTCTTCTGACACCTGTCATGACGTTTTTTTCAGGTGTAGTTCACCTCGGTTTCTGATGACTGGACACTTTTCTCCGCGTGCGCGCGTCTTCGTCGTGTCATATCTGCGGGTTCACGATTTATTTCGGATGTTTGCGGGGAGAAGGGAGAAACATGGGAAGCAGGGGGAGGTGTATGGAGGCGAATTTCTGAGCTTTGGGAGTGTGCAATGGTTCTAGATTCGTAAGTTGGGGCAGGACAAATTGGGGACGGGGGTTACGGGAGGTGTAGTGTGAGGTGCGAATAGCAGGGTCAGGGAAGATGCGAGATGTCCTGCCATCCCGCTGCTATTGGGATGTGCGTTGATGGTTGTAATGGAGATGGGCGGTGATGTGACTTGAGTTCCGTCGAACAAGGTTGGCAGGCCGAGGTCAGTGTGGTAGATAGATGTGTGTGAAGATATCGGTCGTTCTTCTCGGCTACCATGCCATCGAAGAATTCCCAAATTGGATTCCTTGTGAATAGCTCTTTCGTGGGTTTAGTCTCTTCTCATACTACCAGACAGGTACGTTTGTAAGGTTCAAACGAGCTGCCAACAAACAGTTGACTTCAGCTTAGATGGCCCTATTGGGCCCAATCATGGCGATTTACCTTTCTAGGCGTAAAATTATGTCTGAGGCCGAGAATCACAGGAGCCACAGTCTGAGTTGTTCATGCTCACATTAATTAGCAGTGAAATAATGAGTGAGTAAACTGAGTGTCATGAGTGAGTGAGTGAGTGTAATGAGCGAGAGAGTTAGATGAGAACGGCGAGTGAGTGAAGCCATGATATGAGAGAATGACAGATGCACTTAACGCGTCTGCACCTAAAAGCGGGTCCAGTCGCGTCCACTGGACCACAAGACGCGCTGACCAACGACGACAGCGCACCTTAACCACTCGTTGTCCTGCCCACCACTTCGGGAACCGTCTCTCGAATCTCGAAGGGTTTTGATTCCACCTCATCTGGCGGCAGTGAAAGGGTCTGCTCGGCTACCTCGATAACTCAATTGGCCCTATTGCAGCAGCTTGGCAAGCTTAAGTATCCCCTGGTTCTTCGACAAACCACGGCTCATCTCGAGGGGCTTATCGCATGTTCCCTGCACATGAAAAACTTCAACATCTCGACTCACGGCCGACAAAATACAGTGAAATAAACAGCTCTTGAGGCCAGGGAAGGACGAGATCGGGTACTCCTTCATCGAACCCACGCGAATTCATGAGGAAGACGAGGCTTTTGAGGCCATCAAGCTAAGAGAAAGGGTCCAGGGGTGGTGTATGGAGTACAGATACAACTCCATTTCCTCCCAGTCTTTCTCCACAATAAATCCCTCCTAGCACCCGCTGCCTCATTACCCTACTCAGTTCTCGACCCTCGACCTTCTCACTCGCTCTCACAAATCATGCCTCCGCGCAAAAGCGACGCGAGCCGGAGAAGCGACGTATCCAACGCCCGCTTCATCGTCATGGACGAGGAACCTTCCACCTCCACCACGCCGGCCAAGGCCGCGGCGGCACCCGCTACCGCTGCCAACGCCGCCGGCACCCCGTCGTCAGCATCGACGGCCAAGCCCTCCTCAGCGACGCCGTCCAGTGTGCCTGCGCCGACGCCCGACTCTGCCGCCGCCGCCGCCGCCGCGGCAAGGTCGACGCCGGCGACGACGGAGAAGAAGGAGAGTCAGACGCATGACAAGATGGCCAAGGCGGATAGGGATGCTCTCACAATCGAGGTAAGAGGGGAAATCCGTGTGATGCTGGCGACAATGTGCTGGGCTTGACTAATTATAACGTAACCCGTAGGATCTCAGCTTGCCCAAGTCCATCATCACCAGGCTGGCAAAGGGTGTCCTCCCGCCTCAGACCCAGATTCAGGCCAATGCCGTCTTAGCCATGGGCAAGAGCGCGACGGTGTTCATCAACTACCTAGCTTCTCAGTGCGTCAAATCTCTCTTAGTCACCATGAGATTCTTTGTCCAAACAGGCAGCAATGGCGTCCAGGAGCAGAGTCCATCTTTGTCTCGCATGTATGAAGCTAACTCATATTGTGATTCCTAGTGCCAATGAGATCACAACAAATGCCGGCAAAAAGACTGTCAGCGCTGAAGACGTCTTCAAGGCTCTGGATGACATCGAGTTCGGTTTTCTGCGAGAGCCCTTGGAGCAGGAGTTTGCTAGTGAGTTTGCCCTATCGTTTTGCCCTTGTCACCACTGAGGGTGTCCTTCAAATAAATCGTCAATCTGGACATCGCTACTCTATTTCGCTCATCTAAAGTACGCCATGAGAGACGTTACGACCACTAACTTGAGTCTCAGAATATACCCAAATCCAAAACGCAAAACGCACAAATTACCGCAACAAGGTAGCTGCCAAGAAGGGCGGTGCCGCAGCCGGGGCAGCAGGCACAGCATCAGCTGATGCATCCCTCCTCTCCAACCCCGACGACAGCGTCATGACCGCGGCATCCACAGACACCGCCCCCCGCTCAAAGAAGGCCCGTGTAGACGACTCGGCCATGACCGTTGACGAAGAGGCCGAAGACGCAGAGACAGAGCCGGAGGAGGAGGCTGAGGAAGAGGAAGACGAGGAGGCGGACGAGGAAGAGGAAGAAGAGGATGATGACGAGGACGAGGAAGGCAGTAGTGAGGAGATGCACGATGCGCTGGAGACGAAGGAGGGCGAGGGTAGTGACGTCGATGAGGCGCTGGACGGGGACGAGAGTGACTAAAGTCTCGTGATAAATCTCCTATTTTGGGGTCGACGAAGAGAATCTGAACATTGGTGAGGAGGACATGAGGTTACCTAGCGTGATGAAGGCAAGAAAAAGAACGGGCTGCAACAGGGAGCTTCGGCCCCGGTTTTGGGTCATGGAAGGAAAGTAATGCGAATGATTCTTTTGATAATACACATAGTTCGGTGCAAAGACGCCTGTAAGAGAATGCGATGCTGGTACCCCTTTGTCATTCGTATCGGCAGTGTGTCGGCTAGGCATGGACTCTTAGCCTCTTCGTAAGAGCTGGCGAACGATATATCGCGGCGGCCCGGCCCCCTTCCTCGGAGATCCGCCTTTCAGTAACCCCTAGATCACGGTTCATCTGTACCGGAAAGAAACTACACTCTCACAAGTCTGCTACTAATCTACGAACCTCCATGCCGGTAGGCTCATCGTCCGTTCAATAGTCCTTTCTGTAAGAAGACTGTCCACCCTATTAGCACTCAAGTGTTACGACTTCAGCCTCGTCCCATGAAGAAGAGCGAGAGTTAAACACGTGTATACGCCACCCCCACAGGAAGCTCTTTACGACAGCAACCGTTAACATGATAAAGGCTCTAGTGTATGCGTAGAGAGGAAGTCGTGATGTCAACAAGATACCAAGGGCAGAAGAGGCCGACGGTAATACTCAGAGATTATGGAACCTATTAGACACCAGAGTTTATAATTGGGGAGTTCCATGGTGATATGTCGTACGTACGAGCCGTATACCGTATTCGCCTTTGAGCAGCCTCGAAAAGAAAAGCGTACATCAACGTCATGATCGCGCCATGGTCGATGTCAGTAAACATTGAGGGTTGCAAACGCCGACTGTAAAACACTTAAGTCCTAACTCAACTTCAAGGCACTATGTTCCGTCTCTTCGGATGACATGCGAGAAAAGCAAACAATAACGCCATATCGCATTTCCCTCATCCTCTATGATGCTTGGATCACACACACACACTTCTTTTGTACACAGACACCCGAACATGAAATAATGCTTTTGAACCAAAGCGACCATTTGATCCCATCTTTTCCGTTTTGACCTGCTTTTGTTTCCGCCCTTTCCGCCATTCCTTCTTCAGCATTTCCTAACTTGGTGTTTCGATGGACGGTGCCCTCTTTCATCCCCAACAGTTCCTCCGGCTCGCCCCTGGTCATCGCTGTCCATGTTCTATTCTATTGTCCATCCTTCCTCTTTTACACATGAGAAGGAACCGGGGGGTTGGGGGATTAGAAAGGTAATAAGAGCCCCCATATCTCCTCACCACAAAGACGAGACGAAACGGAAAGCAGGAGCAAACAACCCTCGTGCACTTGTAGTCACATAGTAGAACCTATCGCAACTTCGGAGGCGGCTGATCGATAGTAGAAAGGCACGTCGGGTCCGACGAGGCTTCCACTTTCGCCGGGCGGTTATCTCATCTTCAGCCTTTGCCGCCACACTGACTCGCATTGAGTCCGTTGCAATTCATCCTCGCCAACATCACCCCACTACCATCAATCACCACACGCCACCACCTTTCCACCAAACACCCTTCACCATAGATCCTCCCATCTCTCTCTCTCTCTCTCTCTCTAGCTCGCGCGCGCGAGCGGCACCACACACCTTAGTTTTCCACTCCGGATCTCTGGGCCTCAGCCCACCCTCTCGACCGTTTTCGTCGCCAACTCTCAAACGGCAGACGCACAAAGGGTCCGAGAAAAGGTCTTATACCTCACGACAGCGGCGCGGCGCTTCCATGAGACATCCATCGCCAACGGGCTTTTCCTTCCGATTATCATCTTATCCTCTCCCGAAAGTCCCGAAGACGTGGTTCTCTCTTTACACATTTGCCATGCCTCTTTCTCTGCGCATTCGCACATTTTACACACCTCTCTCCCAACGGCTCCCCCCCCCCCCCCCCCCCCCCCCCCCCCCCCCCCCCCCCCCCACCCCCCCCCCCCCCCCCCCCCCCCCCTTCCACCCCCCCCCCCCCCCCCCCCCCCCCCCCCCCCCCCCCCCCCCCCCCCCCCCCCCCCCCAAACCCCAACCTTGTTCTCCGCCTAAGGAGCCGCATCTTCGGTATCGTCAGCTTTCATTACACCCTCCCACACGCCCTTGCTCTCCTACTCTTCTCTCCCCAGGCGGGGTTTTCCTTCATCGCGTATTCTTTCCCACACTTTTCCGGTCACACTTTTCACCTAACCTCCCCCAAACAGAGCATGCGCCAAAAGGCGCTCCTGTGACTAGTATCCAGGGGAGAACTCTATCAAAACCTCAAGGCTCTTTTGCGTTTTTTCTTTCTTTCTCTTTTTTCTCCCCCGTTGCGAGAGTTATGGAAAATGTAATCCGTTCTTGTCGGCACCTTGGATCGGCAGTTACAAAACCCCCGTACACAAGAAAAGTATCCTTCCCTTTCTCTCTTGTAAACCATTGTTGAGATTAATATTCGAAAGACACGCAGTTCATCCACCTCCTAATGTCTGAGAAAGTTAACCAAAAATAATGGACAAAGAATCAATCGTCCAACCACAGATTAAGAGTAACGAGAGTAACCGTGGTGTAAGAGCACATGGAGAACAGTGTGCACCACCTCGGTACCCTGTCCCTCCCCTACCTCCCCCTCCTTGAATACTCCTCCATCTCTCCCCGGCCCCCCTCATTAAAAGAGTCCGAACTAGTTACCCAAAGCAAACCCATCCTTTATAACGGAAACGGGAAGGGAGGAGGTAGTAGAGGACGAAAAAGAGGACCTCCGGCTTCGGATTCTAATCCTCTCCTCCCTCGGCCGAGAGGGTTGAAAAGGGGAGGGTTGTTCTGCCTCAAGGCACGTGTGAGAGGGACACTCAGAAAGAGGGAGAGAGAGAGGAAGACTAGACCACATGTCCCAAAACATCCCACATCACATTCACCAGTCAACCTTCTTTCATCACCTTGAACTATCTTCCCGTGGATCCCGGACGACAGAGGCGATGTGGAAGGGGGGCCTACCTACCTACATAGCACATACCTCAGAATACTGGCGGTAAAGCGGCAATGATCTGTTTGTCGGGGAGGAGGGGGAGAGGGAGGTGTACGCCTAGGGACAGAAAGATCAGACACAGGTTTCCAAAACCTGCCCGCTGCAGTGAGTTAATGGACTGAAGAAGAGTACACAGACCCTTGTCTCACAACATGCCGGTCTTCGTCCCGATAACGAAGCCTTCCTTCTACCATGGAGAAACTCAAAGTCACGACCAGATGGCACATGCATCCTCCGGGGCACGCTGTTACCGGTCACCCTCGTCCATGCTTTAAATAGTTGTCCCATCTGAGCCGAGAGAAAGAGAAGGGAAACAAACGTACAGGCGCACTGCAGACGCAGTTTAGGCAGTAACGTTGGTAGTAAACGTGGGCCGCAATATTGAAAGGGAAAATGAAAAAAACGTATTTGCATTAAAGAGAAGAAAACCAGAAAGCAGCACTATCCTCCAAATGTTCAAATGTGTCTCCAAACAAACGGCCACCCATCTCATCTCTTGTCCGCACCGCCCGCCCGCCCGCCCGTCAGTCGTGCAACCGAGTTGTACAATCAAGAAACAAGGACAAACAAAAAGGATCCCAGACGAACAAAAACCAAACACGAGCCATAGGTGTTCGATCGACACGGCCCTCATGCAATCCAATCCCAGAGAAGCCTCCCTGCCACTGCCACTTTGTCGCGGAAGAAACGAAACAAATCCCACCCCGATGCCGGATCATGGCGCTTCCTGAGTTCCTGGTTAACCAAAACACGACGACCAATATCGAGTTTCACCCAAGAGCAATACACACACAACTCCATCGATGCTGCCGTATCGGCCGACACAAAGATAAAACAAGGCCAAAATCATTTGACCGCCGACATGCAGACTGGAAAGGGTCCTCGCCCATGTCAAGTGCCCCCTCCAAGGACGACCCAAAGCGCTTTCGCTGTCTTTGTAAAAAGGGTGCACCCTGGATTGTGGGTAAACCTTAAAACCATATTGTAACTTGTCCTCCTCATGGTTCTTCGCTTTCGTGATAACCTTGACTCCCTGTTAGAGAAGGGCCCCGTCATACCTCACGGGCCATATCGATATCAGAACACACCAGAACGTAAGTGTCCTTCAACGTGAGAGATGCTCTTGGTCTTGAGCATGAAAGCTCAGGCTCCAAGGATCCCAAAGAACTGGCACTGTGTATGGCCTCGCGGCCACACCTTCCTCATTCGATGAGCTCAGGTGCTGCTGAGTAACGAGGCTCAATACTGCCATATTCGTTAACATTGCCGCGGCAGCTATTGTGGCTGAGTGATGTGTATTCAGTTTCGCGGCGATGTGAACGCGTGGACGTGGTATTCGTGTGGTATCGTGTATTCGAGAGGATGAGAAGGACTAACTAAAACAGCTCGTGAAGCGAAGCGAATCGGTGATGGAGGACGGCGATGGTATCAAACTGAAGTCGGAGGTGCCCGTGTGCCAACGGCGAAAGAAATCAAAAACAGTCGAAACAGAAAAAAAGGTGTTCATGGGTGATGATGAGTCTGAGAAAATCGAATCCAACAATGATCAACAGAAAAGAAACAATGCATCCTCCCTAAGATGCCAGAAACTTTGACTAAACCACGAATGGAGGCGCGTTACAGTGAAAAGACCATTCCCTCCGTCAAGGAGCTGAGCCCCTGTGTTCCTAGTTCCCCACTACTCCTCTATCCATCCTTCTCGGCCAAAATGCTGTACGAAGACTGAAAGGTCCGCAGCCCAAAAGCACATAGCCTCCACCGAACTGTATGCTTGGGTATCCTTCAGAAGGGCAGCAAGGCTGCCAAACCGGCGAAAGCCAGGGAGTAACCGCCGCCTATATATATCAAAGGGACAAAAAAGTGTAGTTGGCACAACGCTGTTTGTTGTAGAAGCGAAATTGCGACTTGAACGGGGTCATCGTGTTTCGACTCTCTTCTCCGGTCCTCATTGAGGTTGGTTCGACCACC